GCTTGGGGGGCCAGCTTGTGCCAGAGCAGGGAGGGGGATGCTGGTATTTGGGTTCTTCTCGGAGCAGAGCGGTGCCACAGCTTGAGGGTGTGTGGAGCTGCTGACCACCCCTGGGATGCTCACTGGGCTCCTGCCACCCTTGCTTGGCTTTGGTCCAGGCACTGCTGCTTCAAGAAGTGGGCAGGCAAGGCAAACGAGGTGTTTCAAGGCACAGAAGAGGGTTTGCTTTGAGGGGTTTTGGGTCTCCTCACCCCACTGGGAAACACCCCATCTTCTGCACATCGCTCTCCTGTGTGCCTGCACGATATTCTTTCCACCCTGCATTCCCAAGGGTGGAAGTGAAGGCTTGCTGGGAAGCGCACGATCGCCACTCCCTCCCTCAGTGGCCAGGATGCCCCTTGGGATGACCCATCCACTGCAGCCTGAGCTGGGGGCAAGAGCCTCAAGAGTTAAGGTTTCTTAATGCTGCCAATATTGAGAAGGTAGATGGGGCAGCAGTGGGTATAAGGACTGATCCTGCTGCTCAGAGACCCATAGCAAAGCGCAAGGGTGCCTGCGAGCATCCCTCCTCGGTGCTGAGCTCTGCCGCTGCATCAGAGCCAGCAATGCATGCAGGAAAAAATAAAAATCACATTTATGATTTTAGACGAGCCTCTGGTGGCCACCATGCACATTGCACGGGGAACCAGGGCCATGTGAGGACAGCCGGAATGAGGGCTGCTGGAGCTGGATGATGCCCTGTCCCACAAAGCCTCTGCCCCGGAGACGGGGAAGCATCCGTGCCTGTCCCAGGGGGCAGTGAGGGGATGCACTTCCTCCCGCTTGCAGGCTCCAGGCAAGGACCATTGCCACGTCATCCCATCTGTCCCCTTTTTTTTCTTGTCCCCTTTGCAGGGCAGCAAGGGAGAAATGGGACCAGCAGGAGCCCCGGGAGAAATGGGGTTAGCTGGCCTTCCTGGGCCCATCGGACCCCGAGGGCAGCCGGGGCCCCCTGGTCCCCCAGGACCACCGGGGCCCGGCTACGAGGCTGGATTTGTAAGTGATCACCGCTGTGATGGGGGAATGGGATAAACTGGAGAAGGAGGCAGACACAGCTCAGCCCCTTCTTCACCCCCGGTCTAGGGTGACATGGAGGGTTCGGGGCTGCCATTTGCCGCCAGCTCCCCTGGACCACCAGGACCTGAAGGACCACAGGTAGCTCTGCTCTTGCTCCTTCTCTCCCTTCCATCCTGGGCTCCCCAGGGCATCCCCTGCCATTGTGTCCCCTGCCATCACACCATGCTCTTGGTCCCCTTCTTGTTGTTTGCAGGGGATGCCAGGACTGCCAGGGGTGAAGGTGAGGAGCCCTTCAAATGCCTTCCTCACCCTTTGCTGGAGCAAGCTACAGGAGCCTGGCTCCATCCTTGCAGGATGCCCATGGGCAGCCCATGGGGATGGTCCTGCTCTGACACCTCTTTCCTTGCAGGGGGAGGTTGGCAGCCCTGGGCAGCCTGGCTTGCCAGGGCCAAAGGTAGGAGCACTGATAGGTCAGGATGGGCTGCATGTGAGCCTCTGGAGTTGGTGGGGTGCTGTGGAGGACCCCTGTGCTCCCCAACCTGGGGCTGTCGGGAGGATGCTCTGTACTGCATCTCACCCTTTTCCACACCTTGCTGCAGGGAGATGCTGGCATGCCTGGTGTGGATGGCCGCCCTGGACTGGAGGGCTTCCCCGGACCACAGGTAGGAGCATCAGCCCCTGCTTTCCAGAAGCCCTCCCTCACGCCAGGCAGGGCACCCTGGTGCACTGCAGGGCCACATGCAGCAGCTCCATCCCTAGCAGCCAAAATCTATCCCCAGCAACGAAAATCTGCCCCCAGCAGCCAAAATCCAGCCCCTCTCTGCCTTCGGCTGTTCCCCTGCTCTGGGACCGGTCTCACCGTGTGCCAGGGGTGCCCACGCTGTTTGAGACCCCATAGTCATCAGCTTGCCACCCTGCTCGCCATCCCCTCTGCCCAAAAACATCCCGCCCTGGCTCGCTGCCTGGACCTGTAAAGGTTGGGGGCAGGTGGCCTGAATGGTTTTGCTGAGCCGCAGGCAGGAGGGGGTCTCCGCTTGTGAGCCAGGGTCCAGCTGCGTGGGGTGCCAAGTGGGAAGCTCACCCTTGCCTACTCCTCCTTCCAGGGACCCAAAGGTGACAGAGGCAGCCCCGGTGAGAAGGTAGGTGCCACCAGGCTGGGGATGGGGACTGGCCAGTGGTGGCCCAGGGGCTGATGCCCTGTGTCTTCCAGGGTGAGCGAGGCCAAGATGGTGTGGGGCTGCCTGGCCCTCCTGGTCCACCTGGTCCCCCCGGACAGGTGATTGCTGTCTCGAGCAGAGATGTAAGTGATGGATCCTAGCTTCACCACAGCTTGGGGGAGCTAAAATGGTGGGGGGAGGGGGGGGCAGGGAAGGGGCCTGCCCAGCACCCATCATATGGGGGGATCGAGAGAGACTTCTCCAGGAGCTCCGACCTCTTCAGAGTGAAGATCAGGGGGAAAAACCTTGTTTTGTCTCCTTTTCCAGAAGTCTTTGGCAGCTTTGCCCGGTCCAGAGGTAGGTGTCCCGCTGCCACTTGTACCCCTCGCAGTTTCTGGAGAGCACCCAGTTTCTTGAAAAGAGAGGGTTTGCTCATACAAGCATCTCTGCTTCTCTCTGCAGGGCAGACCAGGTCACGCTGCCTTCCCGGTGAGTTGGTGGCGGGGCTGGGGACCACAGGGGTGGCACTGGTGCCCGCAGTGGGTCATGGGGCAGTGCCTGGGCACCGGAGGGGGGAGTCAGAGTGAAAACTTTGTGCATGCTTTGGTGAAACCTCTGTTGTTAGTCCTGCTGCAGTGATGCCGGGGTGGTCATTGGGGTCTGCTGCTGGTGGGTCGGGGCTGACGCAGGCTCTGTGCCCCTCCCTGCAGGGCCCAGTGGGACCGAAAGGAGACCAGGGGTCACCTGGTCCCCAGGGCTCCCCAGGCTTGAAGGTAATTGCTCTGGACCAGCTCTGCCCCATGGGCTGGTCATGCTCCTGGTCCCCCATCCTGCCTGGCCACGGGGTCCTGGTGGTGATGCCAGCCCTGCCGTGGGAGGGGGTCTGGTCCCTCCATCTCCCCTCACACTGCCTCCTCTCTTGCAGGGGGAGAAGGGGGAGCCTGGCGTCATCATCAGCCCCGATGGGGCTGTGGTCACTGCAAAGGTGAAAGGAGAAAAGGTGGGTGTGCCACGGGAACAGGGGGCATGTCTCCATGCGATGGGTGCCGGGTGGTCCTGTTGGTGATGTCCTTTCCCTCTCTGCTGTCCACAGGGGGAGCCGGGGCTGCGGGGAGCCATGGGACCCTCGGTAAGTCACCATCACCATCCTCCTCGTATCGCACGGGGAGGGACGGAGCTGATCCAGAGCAGAGAGGGACAGGGGGTGCCCCCACTCTGAGCACCCCCTTCCTTGTCTTCTGTCCCCTTCAGGGTCCCCAGGGACGAGCAGGGATGAAGGGAGAGATCGGCTTTCCAGGCAGACCTGTAAGACCCACTCCCTGTTTGTTTGTTCCCTTGGCCGTCACCTCCTCCACTGCCCATCCCATTTACACATCTTGCACCCACTGAACCCCAAACCCCATCATGTCCCTGTGGTGCTAAGGGGTGGGGTGATGCCAGGGTACCAGTGCTGATGCCAGGGTGTCACCCCGGAGCTGGTGGGGGCACAGGGACAAGGCTCATCTGTGTTGCTCATCCACAGGGACGTCCTGGCATGAACGGGCTGAAGGGCGAGAAGGGTGAACCTGCGGATGTCAGTAGCATGCTGGGCTTGCGGGTGAGCATTGCCACAGGCCCCCTGAGCTGCTGGCCAGCAGATGGGGGCACACACCCTGAGAGTCTCCCTGGGGACCTGAATCCCTCTAGCAAAGGGCATATGCCTCCCTCTCTCAGGGACTGGTTGTCTGTCTGGGGCAGGGCATGGCTCCGGTGTCCCCCCACAGGGACTGTCCACTTTGCAGGACCCTGACACATCTTCTCTCCCACCACAGGGTCCCCCGGGACCCCCAGGTCCCCCAGGCCCCCCTGGGCCACCTGGCAGCATAGTCTACGACAGCAGCAATGTGAGTAACACCACAGTCACTGTGATGGGAGAAGCTGAGGGCTGGTGACCGGGTTCCCCCAGTGCCCCCTGCTTGGCTGGAGGGGACGGGGACACCCGGTGGCATCCAGGCCAGGGCTGGCACATGCGGCTGCCGTCAGCATCACATCGAGGCAGGGGTCCCCAAGGATGCTGCTGTCTGCAGCTGCTTCCTTTGCATCCCCGCAGGCCTTCAGCGACTCCAGCCATCCTGTGCTGCCAGCCTTCCCTGGTAAGGGGGTGTCCCTCTCCCAGCCTCCTTGGGATGGTTCAGGGACCACCAACAAGGCCGGGGGGGACACTCACGGGACCCCCTCCATTAGAGCTGGGGCTGGGATGCTGCAGCACTGAGATGGCATCTCTCTGCTGACCCCCACAGGTTTCCACCAGTTTCCAGGACAAAAGGGAGAGAAAGGCGATGCTGGAGCCCCGGGACCTCCAGGTGGGTGACCCATCCCTGCAGGCAGGGGCAGGCAGGGGATGGCTTATGCCCACCCCAGCTCTCCTCTCCCCTCCTCTCCCTCTCCACAGGCCACTTCCCCTATGACCTGAGTCACTTCAGTGCCAACCTGCGGGCAA